TTTTCCAAGATGGGGTTTCACCATGTTGGTCAGGCTGGTCTTGAACTCCCAACCTCAGGCGATTTGCCCGCCTTGGCCTCCAAAGTGCTTGGATTACAGGCGCGAGCCACGACGCCCGGCCAAAGTTTTGTTTCTTAATAAAAATTCGTAAGGGTTAGAAATAATAGTTTTAAACACTTCCTTCAAAAGCCTTCTTGCCTTTTTGCCAGAAGCCCTATCCTATGCAGCTGTTAGACACGCCGTGCTCACGGGCATGTAGAACATTCTATGTCCCTGTACTTTCACTGAGATACCTGTGCTGGACGTGGTCACAGGCGTGTCCCAGCTCTCCGTGGCTTTCACTTGTTTAGAAAAGTTTTGTCAGCCCGTCGGGTTTTAGTTTAGATGGTGAGGTCTGGCTCCAGCCCACGGAGCTCAGACACGGCAGGAAGGACGACCCCACATGCGTCAGGGATACATGTGTGTGTTTTCCTTTGTTCATTGTACTCCCGTGGCATGATGGCCAGTGGGAGTACCGTTTCTGCAGGAAGTTAGCTAATTTTTGCATTTTTAGCAGAGATCGGGTTTCAACATGTTGGCCAGGCTGGTCTCGAACTCCTGACCTCATGATCCGCCCGCCTCGGCCTCCCAAAGTGCTGGGATGCCAGGCATGAGCCACTGTGCCTGCCAACAGCACAAATTGAACCACGGAAAACCTCTTTTCTCTTCTTCTTCCTCAGGTTGCTTCCCACGGTTCACCTCTGATGGGCGGGCCGGCGGGCGCTTCCAGCAGCTTCTCAGGCCTGCGCTGCAGAAATGCAAACGAGGACTGGATGTCGGAGCTGTGTCCCCGGCTGTGGGATGTGCCCCTCCACCACCTCTCCATCCCAGGTGCGGGCGGGAGGGGCGTGGGCCGTGGCCCCGTGTTCCCCAGTGGAGGTGCCTGCTGTGGGAGCAAACCTGTGTGTAGGGAAATCCCACAAAGCACATGTGGACACACACATATACAGTGCACATGTGTGTGCGTATACATACACACATAGGCATGAGTGTGCACACACATACACGTGGACACATGTACTCATGTATACACAGACATACAGGTACACATGCACACGTGCACATAGGTACACATGCACAAACACAGGCACATGTGCATAGAATGCACACATGAGTACACATGTATACACATGTACATACACATACATATGTGCACATACACGCACATGCATATACACATACACATGCACATAAGCATGCACACATGCACATGTGCTTATACAGGTGTATACATATGTGCTCGTGTTCCTTCTATGCACATGTGCATGTATGTGTGGGCATGTGTGTACTTATGTGCACGCTGATGTGCACACACACATGCACAGTGCACACGTGTGCGTATACATATACACATAGGCATGGGTGTGCGCATACATGCACACGTGTACTCGTGTATACACAGGCATGCACGCACATGCACACGTGCACATAGGTACACAGAGGCATGCACACATGCACACGTGTACACAGGTACACGCACACAGGCACATGTGCATAGAAAAATGCACACATGAGCGCATATGTATACACATGTATATACACATACATGTAGGTGTGCACATATGCGCACACGTATATACACATACACATATGCATATAGGCATGAGTATCCACACACATGCACACAAGCACACACATGCACACATGTACTTATGTACATATGCATACACATAAGTATGCACACATGCACACGTGCATGTAGGTGCACACATGGGACATACGTATACAGACGTGCACTTAGGCATGCCCACGTGTGCTCTGCCCACAGGGAGCCACGACACCATGACCTACTGCCTCAACAAGAAGTCACCCATTTCCCAGGAGGAGTCCCGGGTGCTGCAGCTGGTCAACAAGGCGTTCCCCTGCATCACGCGCCCCGTGGTGCTGAAATGGTCCATCACACAGGTAGGCTCTGCGCACATGATGCTGACATCGTCATTACCCAGGTAGGACTGAGTGATGCTGACGTGGTCCCTGTCCCAGGTGGGGACTGAGT